TGTGTGTGTGTACAGTTCAGGCTCTTTGCTCTGAAGCAAAACATTGATCCTGCAGTGGAAACTAAAAAATCTATTAAAAATCCAGTGGTTAAAAAGAACAAAATGTGACAGATTGGGGTTGTTGGCAGTTTCACGGGTGAACATTCTCTCTCCTGTTTTGACAGTAATTAGCATATCACATATATGTCATCATGCTTTATGACAGGGACAACAGTCACTGTAGGTTCCTTTTTTCCATTCAGTCATTTAATGAACAATGTGTCTTTTGTACTGCGCCTTCTGTGTTATTATCTTTTTATGAAAATAAGCCCAGGGTTTTTGGAATGTCGTCCTCTTTTATGTGCCTTTATCATTCTCTCTCTCTCTCTCTCTCTCTCCACTTCTCTTTTTACCTACTTGTCCTCAACCTGGCAAACCTGCCAAGTGAGTAGAGCTCCAAAGTGGATCAGTCAATGGCAGATTTAGATTTGAGGTGGGGAAAGCAACGTCCCAGCCCGAGCCAGAAGTGTCTCGTCAGGAAGACTCTGACGGACCGGGAGGGCTGGGAGTTTTCCATATGTTGTAGCACTGCCTTCTACAGGCACCCCCTCCCCTCCCCTCCAGTCCCCGACCTCACCTCCCCTCCCTTCTTGGTACATTTACAGCCCCCTCTTCTAAATCCCTTCTCAACATAAACTTGTCCTCCGCTGTTCCCACCCCCAACCCCACATCTATCACCTAGTTGGCAATGGCATTGTTTTTAATCATCAGAACCTCAAAATTATTATTATCGCTTCTGATGCGGCAATTAAAACTTCAGGTCAGAGGCACAACGAGCGGTGATCAGCAGCCGAGCTGAGAAGTTTTAATTAGACGATCAGAACCATTAATGCACAAAAAAAGGTGTGCGCTGGGAAATTAACGGGAACGTCTTAATCAGGGTTAGCGACTCCGAAGAGGAGTCAAGTGAACAGAGAGCAAAAAACAAATCATTTCCGCACCACTGGGACAAAACTCAATTAAATATGCATGCGGAAAAATGGAAATTTCTCAGCATCAGCTGCACCGACTGTTAGGAAACTGTGGCAAAATCTCACAGAGGGGTCGACGACCTGCTTATTGTTATTCTTGTGTAATAAAAATGAGAGAGGGGCCAGATGCTGAGGTCTGGGTGTCGTGGCGTAGTTGTCCATCAGTGGCTTTGCGCTTGACTTGTTCAGGCTGCCGTAACCTCTCCACCATGGCAAAGATGGAGTGTGAAAGTGTGAGAGAGAGAGAGAGACAGACAGACAGAAAGAATAAATCTTCTCCTGCCAGCTCCAAATTTACCAAAATAAAAACACCTCAATTCCTACGTGACTGTGTTTGTTTATGCGTCTTTTCCTGAAAACCTGGATGTGCGCTTCCTCGCACACACTCGTACGTTTCCCATGAGAGCTATAGACACAAAAGAGTCGCAGAGTTACACACGGTCTTGTCGATTAATCTGCTAAAGGCTCAGAAAGTTATAACTAGACTTTTCCTCTCACAGATAGCGAACCTCTATCTCTGCATATTATAAAATAATCCGGGGCTGCGCAGACATCTCCCGCTCCCTGTTTGGATTAATTAAGTCCTGATATTGCGGGGGGTTTGTCCCAGTGTCAGTCATGTTCGAATCTACAACAATCCCTGTACCTGTGTTTGATTAGGTGAAGAGATAAGCTTCAGTTTAAACAAGTAATATCTCCCTCTCTCACCCGGACCCTCCTGCTCGCTCGCTCCACACAAACAGACAACCCTGCGGGGAGAAGGTGTGTTTATGGAGCGGCTCAAATGATCACTGAAGCCCAGGTTATTTCATTCAGCGTATGTTAAATATGTGATTTTACAATCTCCACAAGACGATTACACCAGTGTTTGGACAAAAGGCGCCTCATCTCAGGACCCGCCAGCCGCTACTTTGTTAACTCCTTACCCGTCGCTACCTTGATTGTAGTCTGTGCACGTTCGCACAAGTAAAGCACTTCCAACAGCGTTATTAGAATTTGAAACACATCTTGATTGGGTATGATATCATTCTGGCACACAAACACAGAGTCTGCATCAAAAGCCAACAAGACCTGTGGTGTTCAGAGCATGTGTGTGTGTGTGTGTGTGTCAGCGTCAGCGTCAGTGTCAGTGCAACACCGGCAGCGTCATCCAGTGCTTACAAGAACCAGGACCCAAAAAAGGACGAGATGATGCACTTTTTTCTGACTGAAGATGAAAAAGAACCTGACCTTGTCCAAATGTGTTCAAAATACTTTCTTGGGTTTTTTCGCCTCAGGTTTTGGCCTTATAAGACGGTCCACGGTGCTGCTGCGTGGCCCTGCACAGTTTCCAGTAAAATAGTGTCACGGCTAACGTAAGCACTTGGAAAAATTAGTTTCAGCTGTTGTGTTCACAGTCAAACCTGCCTATATGTTCCCACCCCCGGTGCTTACTGAGGTGTCTCCTCCTTGACAATTAGCACACCAGGCTAAAGCAGAAGTGTAAATAATGTCCGGTGCGTGTGACATGGTTGTTTTTCTTTCTGATATTCATTAATAAGGCAGAATGCTTACTGGACTCTTAGAGAGGTGGGGGAGTGAGTCCCAGAGGGAAAGGTTGTTCTTTCATGTAGGTCCCCACAGATTTTATCTCATTGTACGCTATCATGCACACAAACGACTTGAGGTAAACAGCTTATTGTTACCATAGCAATCCTCACTGAAAGCAACGGCAAAACGCTGCTGAGGACAGAAAGCCTCAGCATAAATAATAGTTTAGGCAGCCGCCATAAACCAGCCGACCGTAACGTGTTCCTCCTCAGGGGGAACGTCACAATATTAAATTTGTTTTAAAGTACAACTACCTTTAAAGAACCAAAGCACTAAATATACGTTCTATTATTTCTGCTAAAGGACTAAAACAGTGGCACTCTGCCCTCGACTCACACTCCTTATTGTTACCAGAAAATCACACTTAAATAGGCACTCATGAAAAGAAACAACTCTGTAGGAGTCATTTCCTACAAGGAGCCTGAGATTGCAGAGGAAAAGGAAATCAGTAGTTAAGGCATGAAATACTGAACACAGTAAACAGAAAAAAAAATTACCTCCACTGCAACACCCAAATGACCTCAATCTTCCTTTGGAGAGTATTTCCTAAAAAAAAAAAAATCTTGAAAATTTATGGCGGCCACTTCCTAATAGTTTTTCCAGGGGATTCTTTTTTTTTTTCAAAATTGCTGTCTTCTAAAAGGTGACCCTTTCACCCCTGCCTGCAATTGTCTAACACTAAATTGTACAGTAATGTGCAAATGATATATGGGCCTTTCAGAACTACATAATTCCTGGAGTCATTGTTTCAGAGAGGAAGCCTGCAATGTAAATACAGTAACTGAGAAAGCATGTGTGTGTGTGTGTGTGTGTGTGTGTGTGCATTGTCTGGCGTTGGGGTGATCTGTAAACTCCCTCAAATTGTATATCCTCTAATGATTCCACAGCTTTGCAAAAGAAAATGAAAACAGGATTTTATGTTGCACCGGTGTGATTTACATAATGCCGGCAATGGCTCACACATGATTGTGCTTGGCTTTATGGCTGAGGGAAAATGAAGAGGCTCGTTCTCATTGTTGTAGAAAGTGAATTGAATCTTAAAGATGGAACTTTGTTACCTTACATATCACACATTTTTCTCTAGTGAAACGGTGAGTCCGTGGTTTCACTATAGACCATTATCCTCCTGACGGGGCAGGTGAGTTAAAATCCAATACAGTTCACGTGAGAAAAACAATCTCTCTTTTCCCTCCCTCTGTCTTTTAACGGTTTCTAAAGATCTCAGACGATGACAGAGCTGAGTCTTTAACAAACAATAAAATGAATTAAAAGTGAATAAGATTTCATTTTTAAACACCGCGTTACTCACGGACATCTCCTCCCACCACCTGATAAAGATCTGGCCTTGCTTTGTGAGTGTGGAAAAAGTTGCCGGAAGGTGAACTTTGGTGGCTGCAGGAGTCAAGTGAAAGGTAACAGAGTGCATTTTCTGCCCTAAAAAGGCAGCTCTGGATATGGAATGCCACAGGCAGCTGTTCCTGCCTCATCAGAGGACATGTTATAAAGATAGCCCCACTTGGATTGAAATAATGCCACCCATTCCTGCCCCAAGGCACGCTCTATCATGGGCTATTGTTTAGAGAGGCCCAGTGAGGAGGGGGGGGGGGGTTGAACCTATTTTATTTGGGTTTTATTTTATGAAAGTAAAAAAACAAAACAAAAAAACAGCAGTATTGATATAAAGTTGTGGCGAGACAGCTGTCCTTAATACATTTAACAAAAAATAAACACCAATGATCACTGTTGAAAAGGCTGAAAAGTTCGCAGCACTTTTCCTGCACATTCTGACAGCTTTAATGCTCAGCGCCCCCCCCCCCAGCCTCGGTGGGCCGCACAGACCACAGACTCTTTAGGTGAGAATAAAGATAATGTCTCACAGCGTCTGTAGAAGCGCTGTCATGTGAGGCATTATGTAGTCGTAGGGTGGGTTTGCTGCTCGTAGTATAGTATGGGGTCAGATGTCTATCTGCCTGTGGTTTAGGCCTTGTGTGTGTGTGTGTGTGTGTGTGTGTTTTCCTCTTTTTTTCCACCAATGCATTAAACACAGAGCTGACCGTAGAGGTGTGACTTTGAAAGATATGTACAGTATCTGGGTCTGTCCTTTTAGTCTTGTGCTGTTATTGTTAAGTGCTTTTGGATGTTATTAATAGCAGCAGTCAGTGTTCTGTGTCAGTTTTATTTTTTTCCATTGTGATACTTTAAAACAGTACAAGATACTGACAGGGAGAAGCAGCTTCAGGTCTGTGTCTGTTTACACTCACAGCTTTTCTGGCTCTCTTGTGAATAAGAACATGTCGGCGTTTTGAATTTAAAATCTCAACAAGGCTGTATGTCTTTTTTTTTTTCAAAAAATTATATTTATTAATAAACATTTGTATTTTTTTTTCTGCTTCTCAACAGCTGAAAGGAATTTATGCACTGAAACGACCTCAGGAAAATCCAAGATGGCCGCCAAAAGGAAAGGTGGCCTAAAACTCAATGCTATCTGTGCCAAGCTGAGCCGCCAGGTGGTGTTTGACAGCAGCTCCCAGAATGCAGAGGGTGACCAGAGTGTAGCAGAGAACAGCGAGCGTGGCAGTTCCCACTACGATGACAACGAGAACAACTTCCACGAGAGCCTCAGCCTAAGTCAGAGCCTGGAGGAGGACCAGAAGAGACGAGAGGCCATCGAAAAGTGGGTCAACGGTGAGTACGGCGATGAGCCGCCAGCTCCTGAGGACGAGCAGGAGCATGAACTCAAAGTCAGCAATGATGAAGATGGCCCTCCTGAGGGTGTGTACATGGTACAGCCCAAAGGCTGCAGCGATGAGGAAGACAACGCAGACGAGGCTGAACCCGAGGCCGGCTCTCAAGATGGCAGTTACCATGAGGACAAAGACAGTGAGGACAAGCCTCCAAAAAATGATTCCTTCATGCCGCAAGGAGAGGCCCAAAGTCGCCAAGCACCTTTCGCCTCTCCAGGTACGTTTTTTCTGACGACATCACTGATTTTCCTAAATGTTAAAATATAAAATCATCAACCCTTTGGACCCTTGAACAACAGCCCACTACACTCACTACAACTGTTAGACACGTCAAGGGTGACGTCATAGCAGTGGTTCCCAAAGTGCAGAGTGCATTGGAGGGGCAGGACTGCAGCAAGGAAAATATATTTCAGATACAATAATTTCTTCTTTTTGCATTGAATTTTTTTGTTTTTCTTTTGTTTATTTAAAGAAATGTGTTTTAAATAAAAATAAACATTTATAGCAATAGCTAAACTTATTTTTTAAATGTGAGCTGTTTGGGAACCACTGACATACTGTATAGCCAGTGTTATTATTAACCTGAAGAAAGATACAACGAGCAGTTGTGGGGAGGGGGTGTGGGAGGGGAGGTCTCTATAACTTGTCAGTGTGTGGTTAACTGAAATTCATAAATGAGGCAGGCTTACGGTATGAGACCATTTATGTATTCTCCCTGCAGCTGTGGGCCAACAGCGAATGGCAGGGCCAGGCTTAGCGTCACATTACACCCAGGATTACATATTGAGTCTTTGATTTTTCCCTAAGCTCACTAAACTTAGCCACTGCTTCAAGCTCCTCCATTACATAGACTTGTGGTTTGCCTTTCGAGCCATTTAAGCTTTATTTTTTCCATAGTTTCCGAAACCAAAAATCAATTTTTAAATAAAGCCCAAAAAGGAAGAATTATATATATATATATATATATATATATATATATATATATATACAGTATATACATATATATACATGTTTAGTCTCCTTCCTTTTCCTGCAGCAGGCGCTATAAATCACAATTTGTAACCTAGTCAATGTTGTTAAAATAAAACTGTAAACCAAAGTAAAAAAAAAATACATTTAGGTTTTAATATTAGTTATTGTCCAGTAAATATATGACATATACGTCATGTCTCAGGCCCTGTGGAGCTGTAAATGTCAAATGCCACAGCTCAGCCTGACTGTGTACCGTCCTGACACATGAACCACCCTTTTGAAAACCTCAAGCTCATCTTAAGTCTCATAATAAACGTTAGCTCCAAGTATTCTTTATTATTTGGCTCGAACGACACTAAAAGAATTTTCTAATTCCTTGATTGCTTGTAAATGACTCATTATAACCTCTGTTAAAATGTGACAAGATGTTCTCTGGGTATAATGTCGTGATTATCAAACAGATAAAACACATAATTTCAACAGTCATCTGAAGTGAAGAATAAATTAATCAACTGTACCAACAATGTTTTACCAGAGCTACTTTTACAGTTATACGCCGTGTGACCCTTGCGACTAGACACGTACACATACATACACAGGCTGGCCTTTGTATGGCAAGTTAAAGCCGCGGTGTAAATAAAAAAAAAAAGCAAAGAAAGAGAGTTAGAAAAAAAAACACAGAGCTTTTTTTTTAAAGAGTACATCAACGCTACTGCTCTGAGAACCAGTGAGGGGGAAAATATTTGCAGGCAGGAGAGGTTGTTGTGGTACGAAAACAAAATGTGTTCCATCCCTGCTCTCGTCTAGTTTTTGTGCTCTTTCATCTAGGTTTAAGTCTCTGTCTCACACTCGTACACAGGCTGCCTTTAATTCTATCAGCAGCAGCTCTGGCCACATAGAATCGAGGGCAAGGGCTTCTTAGAAAAATGAGGCAGGTTTCATTTCAGAGTCAAATGAGAGAAAAAAAGAGCTCTGTGGTTTTAATTAGTCATTTTGTGTGTATTTCACTGCCACGAAAAGCCTGTCTGTTTATACATGTCATTGTAGGAGGCCTGCACCTTTATCCCCACTACTGCTTTTACTACTCCTCATCTGACAACAAACTCTGCTCTCTCTCTCTCTCTCTCGCTCTCTCTCTCTCGCTCTCTCTCTCTCTGTGAGGAGGGTGCGGTGCCTAAGTTGCCAATCTCATGTCTCTCTTCTGGTTTTTTTTTTTTTCATATTTGCTTTTTGTTGATTGCAACTAGGGCATCTATATTGCACTGTTTTTCGTGGCTCACAATTAAAACAACCCCCCCCCATCCTCCTCCCCCTCCTCCTTCTCTCTCTTGCCACTGTCTTTCAAAGGCTGATGCAGAGTGCACATAATTATGCATATAAACATAGTGGCTTAATTATCTTTCACAACATCAGTGACAATGTAATTAACAAACATTGCAAGATCAATGAGAGAATCTGCGACCTTCAAAACATTTAACTCCTCACATTGAGGCATCGTGCGGATTTCCTATCAGCGCAGAACCCCAGAATACTTTTCCTAGATAATTTAGATGTCGCATTAGAGCCTTCGTCAGCCGCTCAATGGAAAAACCGATGAGTATGAAAGCAATGACAGAGGTGCTCAGAGCCACGGATCAAACAGGCTTTACCATCACATCTATCTGCAGTTCTGGGTTCACTGTAAAAAGGTTATTGTTCATTTCAGGCTATTTCAAAGTGCTGCCCATTTACTGCCTTCTAATGAACTAAAGTTTAGAACTCGGGACAGTTCCGAGTGCTAAATTAGAACTGACAGTATTTAAATTTGATGTCCCAACCTGACAATTTACAATTCACTTTTGCTCAAACATGGAATTCAGCCTCTCCTCAGTGCGTATCCACATATAGCTGACAGCGTGCATCTTTATCTCCAGCGACACCTCAGCCTCTCAGGCCTCAGAATAGAGAAGCTGTGCCACGTCCATGGCCATGTTTGGTCAGAGGAAAGCAGATACAATGCCTGACTGTTATCATATCTGTGGGGAAAAATGTGGCCTAATTGCCTCAAATGTAGACAAGGCCGGTGTCTGTGTCGTGTGTTGGATTTTGTTCGACTGAAGTGTCAAGATTAGGAACCACTCATTCCTGGATTTCCATGCGGTGGCGTAGGAGGGCTCATAGACGGAAAATGGCAGACGTGGTAACAAACGTCTGGTAAAAAAAAAAACATTTGAAAAGAAGGGCTGACGGATTATTTATTTACTTCTTTATTTACCGAGTTATTTATTTATACAAAGTGTAACCGCTGGCTGTCATTTGATATCAGGCTGATAAGGCCTGAGTAGAAAACCCATTTACATGCTTTGTTAGAAAGGTTATCTGGAGTCATGATCTGTCTTCATGTCCAATCCCTCTGCCTCTCACTCATGTCACAGCAAAAAAGAAAGAAAGAAGTTCTCATTTTTAATTTTTTTGCTAATTAGGCAAAACAGGAACAAAATGAGTGCCTGCGCTCCCATAACAGGAACAACTAGTCTCTTTATAGTTGTTCAAAAAGTAGACAAAAATGACAGACATTTAGTTTAATTGAGCTCAGTTTCATTAAAATAATTAAATGTCTTTTTATTCTCAAAATCAGCTTTGTTGTCCTCTTTTATATTCATCCTCAGACACTGACGTGTGGATCAGGACTCTGACTCACGGCTGCTGTGGGTGTGGGGACTCTAACTTTAGAACTATATGATACAGCCTGACCTGAAATCCTCTTATACAGTGAAAACAGAGGCAGTGCAACTCAAGTAAAGTGTAACGAGGTATACTAGAATTTGATATGTGATAAATTATTAGAACGTAAATAAATAAATACAGGCTACGAGCTGTTCAGAGGAAACTCCAGGGTGAACCGCACAGGAGCAGGAAGCACATACTTATACATGTGAACGTGATATGTCAATTTGTGGTTTCTGTACATGTAAAAACACAGCAGATTTGATGAAATGATCCCTGTCAAACATTTAGCCTTCTTCCCCTCTCCCAAATACCTGATCTATGTCTCCTGAAAATTTCATGCCCTTTCGATCTGCCAGATACTATTTCATAGTGATCCACTTGTGTCGAGGAGCAACCCCAGTGCAGTGAATGGAAATTTGGGGATTATTTTACATGCTGTGCAGGGGACGTGAAAAGCAGGACACAGTGACTGATTTAGCCATAACTGAGAAATCTGAGACAAGAGCAGAGATATTTGTGTATTAATTGCCAGGGTGGCAGATGACATTACACCAGGCCAGCTCATGTGAGCTTTGGTCAGAAGAGAAGCTATAGGAGAAAAATAAAATAAAATAAAATAAATGTTTAAAAATATTGAACTTTGGTCCTGTCACTGTGCCAGTGGGGAGTTACAGTGGCCAAAGGTTTAAAATGATGATCGTTTATCGCCTGTCATCGTCAGAACTCTGCCTGTGTTCTGCTCTTCTGTCTGGCAGGCAGACAGAGAGATTTTGTCCTTCCACTAGATTCATTTCCCCCCTCTTTTCCCACTCTCTGACCCCTTGCGCTAACCTGGATGAAAGTTAATGGGCCAGAATTAATCTCCACATAATGCAATTAAACTATACATTGACTATACTGTATTTCGCTATGTCCTTGGGGAAGTTGTCCAATTTAATGGACTCTAAAAATGGAAGTGATGTTTCAGTTCACAAATGTGTAAAAAGAGGAAAAGATTCATTCTGTGCACTTTTGAAGGTGACACAATTATTATGTTATTATAAAATACCTCACACGTAGCTTGATGGGTTTTTTTTCCTTAATGGAGGATATATGGTCATATATATTGTCAACTTTTCTCCCTCAAACCCAATGTAGGATTTGGCCTAATAAAAAAAATGAATCAGTAAATCTCACAGGCTAACAAGCCGAACTTCAGAGCGTTCATTTGCAAATTTTGCAATTCTGACTAATACAGCAAGTGCCACAGGAAGAAGAGTGCATCTTGTTTGTCGGCACAAAATATGCAGCATGGTAGCTGTAGTTTGCAGCGAAGCATCACTTTTCCTGTTTTAAAATGTCTCTACAGTTCATAAGTACCAAGGAGAACGCCGTCACATCAATCACCAACGTTCATTGTTCAGAAAACATTGCTCCTTTATAATGCGGGAGGTGTAGTTCTTATTAATTATCTCAGCGTTGTGTGTGTTTGCCAAAATGGTGAGGTGAGATAGAATTGTTGCATTAATTGGGCCAACAAAATATGGTCTACACTTTTAACACAAAGCTACTTTGCCAGATTAATCCATTTGTGACCGCCATATTTGATGCCAAACAAAACAATAAATTGTCAAACACTTCTGCTACAGAGCATAGCAACAGTGGAACAGATGTAGAGCGGGCATCAGTCAATAAGATGTGAGAGGGAACCATTTCATATGTTGATTTAGTGACCTGAATTTAGTGAACTGACGTGGGCAGCAGTGGAATAAGTTGGATGCAGTTTCACCACTCAAATGTAGAAAACTCATTTCCATACAAATTAGTAGATTTTCTAAATGTGCAATGAAAAATGAAAATCATACGTAGTTCTGTGGAACTCCACGGTTTACTGTACCAGAGGAGAAACCTCACTAAGAAGGTGACCAGTTTACTTCACATGTCTCTTCACACCTGATCGTGAGTTATTGGATTGTGCCATTATGTTGTTTTGCTGTTAGCTAACAGGCTTTGTCAAATATTAAAGACATTTTTCCAACTGCTCTTATAATACTGGTCTGATGTACGAATCATGATTCATGCAGTCAGGCCAAATTGGTCCATTGCAAAGAGGCGAAAGCGCCACCTGTGACTCTGAGGCCACGTGTTGCAAAACCCTGGTTTAGGGCATTAAAACGGCATTCACCAAAGGCTGGATCTATACTATAAAGCTGTGACTCATCAGTTTCCTGAAAGCAATAAAATTCTATGTTCTGATATCGTAGAGATACAGATAATAAAACTGTAAAATGCTTCAGAGGTCAGTCGAAATTTCCATGTGAAAAGGCCAAAAGTGGGAATAGCTGCTACAGTCATATAATTATATGATTTTTTTTATTATTATATGATTAGAACTTATTGCAGAGCTAACAATATGTTGTTGTTTTTTTTTTCACTTCAGGAGAAGCATCTGCCCTGCGAGACTATGCAGCTAATACCATGAATGAGTTTTTGGGAATGTTTGGCTATGATGACCATCAGGTAAGGGATGAGTTGACCAAGAAGATTAGCTTTGAGAAGCTCAAAGCGGCTACCTCAGACCCCTCATCCCTCAGTAGTGAGGAGGCTTCACGGCGTGCACGCTTCTCTAAGTATGAAGAGTACATTCGCAAGCTAAAAGCTGGTGAGACCCTTCCTTGGTCCATGCATGCTTCCCCGCCCAAACCAGACGACCTCAACGCAAAACTGGCCCAAGAAAAGAGCACTAACACGCTCCAGACCTCGGGCTGCATCCCAGGGGCTGAGACCCAGATCTACCCATCCAGCCTGGACCACAAACAGCCAGGAGAACCTCAGCTGAGCACATCTCAGCCATCCAATCCCACTCACATGCAGAACATGACATCCCGAGCCTCCAAGTACGACTTCTTTATTCAGAAGCTGAAGATGGGCGAGAGTTTGCAGCAGCAGAATGGTAACGCTTACAAGCGACCTTCCAAGTACGACCTGGAGAACGTCAGGTTTCTGCACCTCTTCAAGCCCGGGGAGGGCAACCCCAACATGGGTGGCGCCATCGCCTTTAAGACTGGCAAAGTGGGCCGCCCTTCAAAGTACGACATCAGAACAATTCAGAAATTGATGCCGGGAAATCCTGAGGCCTCCATGGCGCCCAACGTTCTTGCTACAGCACCAGGGAACCCGGGAGTTCCTGGGGTCCCAACAGCAGGTGCAGCCGGGGCCAGCATCACTCCAGGGCTCACAATGGACCAGACAGGACACATGAGCTACAACACTCCTGACTACCTGAAGTCCAGCTTTTCCAAGACTGACTCCATCACCACGGGAACAGTGTCCTCTGTCAAGTAAGTCTGCTCAAGTGGACCACATCACAGTAGAGTAGATGCACTGGTCACATACAATCACTGCCAAAAAGTCATGTCAGATAAATGGACCAAGAGATGACGAATGATGTTACGTTACGTACAGCTACTAAATGACAAATACATTTTTATGTAGATCTATTACATATACTCGTTTCACCTCAACATCTTAAAAACTGCTGATGAATCACATAACCTGTCAGTAAATTTCAATTTAGAGTTTAATGGTGGATTGAAAAGATTCCAAGCTCAGAGGTCTGTCTTCTTCTTCACTGATAGTCTCTCAGTGGGAGCTCACATACACTTAACTGCTACTGTGAGTCAGTTAGCCTAACGCAAAGGTAATTGCTACCTTTACTGCAGCCAACAGGAATGTTGTGTGAAATAGCGCATAGCGCCCAATAGATCCACAACATGATGAGTTGCGAAGGCACATGAAGTGTTTACTCTCCGTAGCACTCCGTGGAGACTGATTTAGCACAGTCATCGCAAAGTGACTGACTTCTTTCGTTTGGCTAGGGTGTAACAACTCTCCCTTTAATTACTTTGGAGCCATGACTAACCTCCCGGCAAGTCACAGGGGCCGACTCAACTCTGCCTGACGAGTGCACTTTAAAGGAGGCAAACGAGGGGTTTGGGGAACTAGCCTACAGTCATGTGCCCTACCAGTATCCCAGAGTCTGTTTGATTGGTTTTGACCTTGTCTCTAGTTAGTCGAGACCTATCAAAGGCACCGTTCAGGAGCCCTCAGGCACCTCTCCCTCTGGCCTGGGTCTGTGTCAGGTGGGGGCTCAGTGGAGCCGCCAGCTCGGCTAACTGAACTAGTCTGGTGCTTGTATACAGGGGAGGGGAGGAGGGGGTGAGGAGATTGTCTGGCAGCACATCCTCCCCTCTGGGCCAGATTAACCTCAGGTCATCCCCCGTGTAGAGCTGTTCACATGGAGCTAAATACCATCCCTGAGAACCAATACCTGTATTATGACATCTACAAACTGGGCTACAACCTGGGGTTTACATGTCAAGAGAAAAAAGCAAACACCTGTCACACGCAAAAAAAAAAAAAGAAAGAAAATGCCCTAAATGTCTTTTTTTGAGCTGGTTGGGAACGAGGTCCTCAGTCCCAGAGCCGGATCTTGCTGTGTTTGAGGCGCTAGAGTTGTCGTACATCTTAATTTGAGCCGAGTCCAGACTGATGGAAGACATCCTGACATCAGCATTAGAGCCAAGGCCCTGAGGGATTATCAGAAAGGACCTTTTCAGAGCTTTTCTTCCACATCCCCATTATCCAGTTTTGCATACGAGCACTCACCAAATACCCCCATAAAAGATTAATGTCCCTTTGCTCCTGCATTTTGCCTTTCATTGGTTGGGAGACCATGCATCAAAGTGTGCACCTTAAATCCCTGATTCATACTGCACATGAAAACGCTGTTATGACACAAGAAAATGTATATTGATAGTCCAAAGTTTGGGAGCGGCTTGTAAGTAAATAGTGTGTCAGTTTGTTTTTATTAACAACAGGCAGCCCAACTGAACCATTAATCCTGTCTCTTTTGTACTTTCTGTTGCATTAGGAATGGCCTGCCACCAGATAAACCCGCTGGCGACGACATCAACCTCTACCAGAAATATATTGCCAGGTATGCAAATCCCTCAACGTGCTGCACAGATGAAAAAATACTCTCAAACAAGAGACGGGCCTTTTTATGTACTGATAGTGTGTTTTATTCAGTGATGTAACTAGATCTCGTGCCGCTATGAAAATGTTCTGCGCACAGTAAATTAATTAAGAATAGACTTCAATTTATGTGCTGAGAGGAAGTAGAGGGATGGGGGGGTAATGAAAGAGAAATGGTTTGATGTTCACTCTCTATCTGGTTGAAGAAACTCTGCACAGTGTGTAGAGCTCCAGCACACTGGGGGGAACAGCTCAGTACAGTTAGCAGTGACTGACACAGAGGATATGAGCCCAGGTTGTGGTTTTTTCTTTAGTTTTGCTACGTCTTGTCGTGCACACGAGGGCCTGAGTGATCTAAAACTCAGTCTTTCACATCACCAAAGACAAAAGCAACAGGGGACGGGGGTGGAGGGAGGGGGGCGGGGGAAGTTTCTTTAGTTTCTATGGACACAGAACAATGCCCCCCTTTCTGGATTAATTTTGAGCTGACACTAGAAAGGTGATTATCACTTGTTTGTTTATTCTGTTTAAAAAGAAAGAAAACAGCATTTGAAAAGCCAAAGTGGCTCTGGCATTAATGATTACTTCTCCAAGCCATAACATGAAGGGCACAAATCAAAGCCCTGGCACTGACAGACACACATCCTCTTCTCCACACACACACACACAAAACCTCTTCCTTGGACTGATTACATTTTGCAAGAAGATTTAATTAAGGAATTTTTAATGAGGCTTCTGCTGGCACTGCCAAGAACTGTTTTGATATTTGCGCTGCATAATGCATAAAATTTGTCTAAACATCTCGGCAGTTGATGCACGGGGAGGCTGCAGATAAGCCTAGATACAGTTTCAATTTCCGTATTGGGTTGGGAGAAAAAAAAGAGAAAGGAAAGAAGAGGAGGGAGGGAAAAAAATGGAAAAGGAGGGCTCATAAAAAGGGCAAATGTAGCGCAGAGAGGGGAGGTAGACGCGGGGGATGGTCGTCCTTGGAGCTACGGCTAATGAGTGCACAGTAATACTAAAAACCAGCTTTGTAAATGTGTTCGCACCCAGTCCTGGTGAAAAGAGGGGGGGTGGGAGTTCATCATCCCCTCGCCACACTACAGTTTGATGTTTTAAAGAGCTTCCCTGCTAGTGTTTAGTTGCAGTTTTCACTCTTTAAATGCTTTCATGCACCCACTGTTGCCTCGGCACTTTGATCTGTGTATCTCTATTGTAACTTGAGATGCGCTGCAATCTCTGTATCGTGGTGATATTAATATTTAATCTGCTGCTGAATAGCAGCGGCCCATTAGGCCCCCTGACGCGGCAAGTGGGAATTGTCCAGAGGCAAAGTGATACAGCTGGGCAATGTGAAGAGGGGTGGGCTGTAGTCCCAGGAGAATGGAGGCGGGGTGGGGGGTGGGGGGTCAAGGGGATCATATGTGTGTGCGTGTATGTAGAAGAGAAGTACTGTATGTGAGTGGGACATATGTTGGCTTTATTGCGTGCTCCAAGCGTGACGTGTTTTGACTGGCTCGGCCCTTTACTCAAAGACCCGTCCAACCTTTCCGTGGCCCATCCCTCTCCTTCCATCACTGTTTTCCACACTCACACAGCCAACTTAAAAAGTGTAGTGGATATACCGTTCAATTAGCTTAATGAACTCAGCAAAGTGATCTGTAAATGCAGCTCAGGGATAATCCTAACAAGAAAAAACAGAAAGAGAGAGATGGAAAAAATATTACTTCTCCCTCTCCCCCTCTCTCTCACCCCCCCCACCCCCCGCCCGCTTTTCCCCGTACTTCCAGATGGAGCTGTTGGTAGCAAAATTCTCAACGTTTATTTATGTGTTTTCACTGGTAATTGGAGGGTTTTAACAGTCATCACCATCGTCATCAGGCTCATAATCACCACTGTAAGAGTGGTTGCACTGTAGCAAGTAGCAGCCAGTGTTAGAGCCACAACTGATAGGTTATCAACAGGAGAGAGGGAGAGAGAGGGAGAGGGAGAGAGAGAGAGAGCCATTCATAGATCTGGGGAGACTGGACTCTGTTCCTCACTCTGCAAAAGTGTGGTTAAAGCAAAATAACTGCATTGATTTGACAAGGGTTTTCACAGTGTTGAGAAACAAATTAGTTATGGGGCGTGAGAACGTGTGTCAGGGGAAAGGGTTTCAGTGTAATAAGTGTCTCTTACGGCCGCTTTGGAAATAAATGGAGCTAATTTGGCAGAAATTGGTGTGACAGACAGGTAAATTGTTGCAGCGCTGTGGAAAGCAGAGGTGGGTTTGAAGTCGGCAGCACTGTTACTTTGAAGGTGAGAAGAAGGTCCGAGCCTTTCTTCTTCTTCTTTTTTTTTTGCCCTTTCTTTATTAATCATGTGAAGGTTTTTTTTGGTTGATTACATTTAAGCAAAAGTGTGTATTGGCCAGAGTCTGATGATACAATACAATATATTGCGATATACTGCGATACTGCGATACTGTTGGCACAACAATATATTGGAATGTTTTTCTTAACTTAATTGACTGATTTTAATAATCAATATAGTAGTTAGGTTTAGTTACACCAGGTTACTAAAATTGGAACAGAATTATCTACATTTGTAATCACTATAGAAGAAATAAAAATAAAATGAACCAACACCGTGAAAATTTGCACAACCTAAACTCTACGTCTTGTGCAAATGTTTTCCTGTTGTTTGTGTTTCAGGTTCTCTGGTAGTCAACACTGTGGGCACGTGCACTGTGCCTACCAGTACAGGGAGCATTACCACTGCATGGACCCTGACTGTAACTACCAGGTGAGCGTGAGTAAATTTATCACCTTTTCTGCAGCACCCTAATTCCCAAATACACATTCTTACACTGCAAACAGGTCACGGGTTTAAATGTGTGCTTAGGTTTCTTTATTTATTCATTACGAGGTTAGGTTGGGTGACTTAAAGCCAAGCATGCTCATCTTTTTTCAGGAGCTAACAAAGGGGATGTGGTAATCTTAGGACAGACAAACAGGATAATGTGTCATCTTTTCCTGACTCGTCACACCCAGCCAAAGTTTACCATGATGAAAACCCTGTTGTCCTCAGGTTTGTCAAATGGGCTGTGGCTGCGTGAACTCCTTCACTTTAAGCAACCTTTCCAGCCCAGTTGGTCTTTAACAGTTGTTCTTTTATCTCAAAGGTTATTTGTGAGCACATTTAAAAATGGCTTGATTTTGTCTCATGCTTTTGTTACAAAGGGACACCTGTCCACAACTGCAGGCCTGTCTTCTGTCCTATTTAATGAAATACATTCAGTGTTGCCAGGTGGGAAACAGGATTATCAAAGGAGAGGGGAAAAAAAAGATTGTATTTTATGGGAAATTATCGTAAGATAACGTTCAGTTGTTAAGTACGGTCACAGAGACAAGTCCCCAAATACACAGCTCAGTGTCCTTTTACTAATTCCTCAAATTTTGTTTTCCTGAATAAGCCATCCTCACTTCTAATCTCCATGTCTGCTCCTGATCAGGAGATACCGCTGCTGGGTAAATCTTGTTTATTCGGTGCAAAGTGTAACATTTCAAGGCTTTCATTTTCTCCAGCAGTCCCACTTCACAGTCTGATGGGACTTAGAGTCTTAGAGGAATACAAAGGAAAATCATTTCATGTCATTATTTAGAGCGTTAGTTCAGGTTATCATGGCAATTTCCATGGTCAGCGCCACATTTCTCTGTTGCTTTAGCGTTGCGTGGAAACACAGATATGGTTTGGAAGCCAGCACTCTGGATGTCAATACCCTGAAAAAACAGGCAGGCAGTGATGAGACGCTCCATTCGAAGCGATAACTCATGAAATGTTACATGACACACACTCCTGGAATATTATCCCACTGCCAGCCTCTGGGCTATTGGCTGAGTCTTAACATTCTCCTTTCATGGGCTTGTACATGAGGGAGAGTGTGCATCTTGCCACACTGGTGGGAATCCTAAAATAAATGTAGCAAGTGGCTCCCAACCTTCATCACCACTCCACTGAAAATGAGATCTTTTTCCCAGTCAGCTCTATCCATAGCCTATTTTGGACAGCTTGATGGATCGAGTTTATCGTGACCACAGTTCAACTTATCTTATATTGTCGTGAACTTTCAGACACTCCAGAAAGCCCAAAGCTCAGAGCTGAGGTTTAAGGATAATTATTCAGAAAGTGATGAATCTAAAGTATTCATCAATTAGATTAAAAATCCTAATGAAGTGTTTGCTCCGACAAGAGTCAAACATCCTGGAAATATGCAGTGGGAAATGGGCCAAGAGCAGGCGGCAACAGCTGTGTGAGATCTTAGCTTTTTACGTGTGCGTGAGTGGAACACATGACACAGAGCAATTACCCTACTTTGTACAGCAATTATTTGCTTTTTAGAATACTTTCTTTTTGATGTTTTTTTTTCTCTCCCCCCTCAACTGGAGATAAATATGGATTGAAGAAACGTCTCATTGATTTGTGCTTCTCCTGTTACACTTTCTGTAACATCAGCTTAAGTCCAATTACAGCAGATTTGGTTGCTGCTGGTCTCCGAGGAGTTTCTTTTCCGTTTTCCCTCCTTGATTCCTCAGTGTTCCTCAATTATTTATTTATTTATTTACTTTCTAATTTTAGCAGGCGGGCCTCTTAGCATATTCTCTCATCACGACAGGCGACGTCTGCACCGAAAGTGTGTGTAAATGCTTTAATTAAAAATGGAATCATATCGCAGCGGATTGAAAGGGAGATTTTTTTTTTCCTTCGTTGTTTGTTTCTGTTGTCTTCTCTTCTCCCCTGTGCCCATCTGAGAAATCAGCTGTATGGAACATAATTTTTCCAGCGTCGGAAACACCAGAACCGTGATCTTGCATGCCAATTGATTGATCTTAATTAAAAAGACACATTTTGTTGGAAATGATTCTTCTACCTGCTGGGCGTGAGGAGAACTTGCTCCGTGCCATTCCAGCTTTGCTTCAAACTTGTGCTCAGAAAGAACCTCGAGACCTTTTAATAGGTCAAAATGTGGGGTCACACAGTGGAACATTTCATATTTAAAGACATCATGTTCCTTTAATTGCAGCATATACATTTGCCAATTGGCTCCCAAATGTTGCACCTGCTGTTTCCACAGAGATAAAGTGACTTGTTGCTGATTCTGTAACAGGCTTAAATAAACGGCAACCTGTTGCTGTACATTTTTCCCCCCTCCCCTTTTGCAGAGGTTTACCAGTAAGCAGGACGTAATCAGGCACTACAACATGCACAAGAAGAGGGACAACTCTCTGCAGCACGGATTCATGCGCTTCAGCCCCCTAGACGACTGCAGCGTCTACTACCACGGCTGCCACCTCAATGGAAAAAGCACCCATTACCACTGCATGCAGGTACACAGCACATGCTTATTCCATGTCTTCAACCGTCCCACAGGAAACCCACACACACGTACAGTAGACGAGATACAGTCATAAGAGCACACACACACTCTCTCTCTCTCTTTCACACACACACACACAGACACATTTACCGTTCCATCATTACCAGTAAAAACTTTCAGTGCTCACTTATTTACACGTTTAAAACAAAGGCACACTTTTAAAATGTAACAAAAACCAGAAGGTATAAGTTAGCTATCTTGCTAATATTTATTTATCAGGCATAAAGACAAGAAAAAAAATGATTGATGATTTTTTTTCTGACCAACACAGTTTTATATAATAATAACTTTTTAATTTTAATTCAATTTTTGAAAAATCCAAATAAAAAAAAAACGAGGAGGGAGTTTACACAGTCCACGGTCGACCAGGAAACAGGTCAGATCAACCCCAGACTGTGTTATTCCACATTGTTGTGGCAGTGACATATGAAGGAGGTAGGAACCAAAAGAACCTGATCAGATGTATGCTGCAGAACTCTGCAATATAAATGATGGTCGGATCTGGAAAAACAGGACAGTCATAAATTTGTATCTGTGAAATAAAACTACCGCTCTGTGTCTTTTTTCCATTTACCCCTGAATGTCTTCAAAGAGCAGTGGGGCAAAACGTGTCTCAAAATAAACAAAAAAAAAAAAGTAAGTAAGGCTGCTTGTGTTTCCTTTACTTTCTTTCTCTCTCTCTCTCTCTCTCTTTCTTCTCCCCGCGTCCTCACCTCTCTCTCTCCCTCACAACTTGGCATGGATAAAACTCAGTTAGCTGTTTACATAAACTTCACATTTTTCATCTTTTAGTACCAAGCAGCCCGTTCACACTGTTCCCTCTTCTGGATTTGTTTAATTTTTTCCTACATCTGCTTATTTTCACGGTGTCATTGTGGCCACGGCTTCCTCAGCAGCAGCAGCTGAGGATGGTTGTAGACCTATGCTTTTTTTTCAGCCCTCTAACAGAGTAATTGTTATTAGGACATTTCAGTCCTTGTTGTAACAGTCCCTGAGAACCTGCAGATGTTGGCATCTGCTCTCTTGATTTAGAGATGGAAAAAAAACACAGAGTAGCATTTTTTTCATTGTTTGACTCAATATGGAGAAGTTGCCCGGTTTGTATCGACGGAGAGTGCCAGGGATGATATACAATTGCTGCTTTTAATTTAAACATTACCTGTTTTTTCCTGCTCTGTTGGCTCCGAGCAGTAGGACAGTTTAAACTAAAGAGGATGACAGTTCAGTTACGTAGCTCCTGTCTGAACTCCTCCACCACTTCACTTCTGAAATATGCTCTCAGACGGACAGAAAGTTTGTGGCGACAGTCTCACTCCACGTATGAATATTCTGAAGAGGCAGCCCTGACAGGAAGATTCTGCATTTTGAGCTCTGTGCTGCTGTGACCACTGATTCTTTTCAACACACTTTTTCTCACAATGACATTAAAAAGGTGTTACTGGAAACTTGCCCACATCTACACTACAGCACAGGAAGTCATTTTTTAATATAAGGAAACAACCTTATTCTACCTCTTTGTCAGTCACTTTAACATAAATGTACTTTTTTTAAAAAAAATATAAAAAAAAATCACAAATTTAAATGATTACTAAGCGTTCACATCTGCTCTTGTATCGTTTACCATGTCGTGTGTCTGCTTTCAGGTCGGCTGCAGTAAGGTGTACACCAGCACCTCTGACGTTATGACTCACGAAAACTTCCACAAGAAGAACGCCCAGCTGATCAACGATGGCTTCCAGAGGTTTCGTGCCACTGAGGACTGTGGAACAGTGGGCTGTCAGTTTTACGGGCAGAAGACCACACACTTCCACTGCAGGTGGCTGTCGTTTCATGGCACTTCATTCATTCTTTACTTCTGTGTAGTACCAGTAGTGATGTTTAACCCCTTTACAATCACACCTACGTCATTATCAAATGGATGTGACATTTTAAATTGTTGAAAAACAATTTAGATAAAGTTCTATCAACACGGTTTTACCAAAAACTCAACAACAGTGGCACATTATTACATCAACCTGTAGGAACCTCTCACAGAACGACACCAATGCTGCTCAACTTCCTGTAAAGTCAATGGATCGTAGTCCCCAACTGAAAAAATGGAGAATTGTTTTACTATTATTTATGAGTGCTTAGAAATTAGCAAGCAGGCAAACGTGACAAAACGACAAATATTAACATCACAAATTACAGCGAGTCCCAATTATTACATATGAACAATAGTGATATTTAAAGCATTGTATTCACTTGAAATAAGCTCCAAAGCTCACAGCACTCTCTGGTTTGGTAGAATGAGCTGCAACTGTTATCATTGGTTATAGATAATCACTGGCTGGAATGTGTCCCTCTGGCAGAGGTTGAAGGGAGTGATGTGTCAATGAGCTGCTGTTGTGTCACTGAACCACCTCAGTTATCATTCCTCCATTAACAAGTATTCCAGTCACATGGACTCCCTCCAAGAACCCACAACTGAGCAGGGATGGAAAAATGACATTGTCATGTGTTCTCGTTTCCCAGGCGCCCCGGCTGCACCTTCACCTTCAAAAACAAATGTGACATTGAGAAGCACAAGAGCTACCACATCAAGGATGATGCCTATGCCAAAGACGGCTTCAAAAAGTTCTACAAATATGAGGAGTGCAAGTACGAAGGCTGCGTGTACAGCAAAGCCACCAACCACTTCCACTGTATCCGCTCAGGCTGCGGCTTCACCTTTACCTCCACTAGCCAGATGACCTCCCACAAACGCAAACACGAACGCCGGCACATCCGCTCCTCGGGTGTCATGGGCCTCTCCTCCACCTTTCTGACACCCAAGGATGAGCCAGAGGATTCAAGCAACGATGACCTGATGGACTTCTCAGCCATCAGCAGCAAGAACTCCAGCCTGAGTGCCTCGCCGACCACCCAACAGTCCACCACTGTGCCACACCTGCTGGCCACACCCACTACTGCTGTGTCCTCCTCCACAACTGGCCCAGTCCTCAAGCCTTCTCATGCACTGGCCACTCCAGGTCAGCGGATGCCCAGCCTGCTGTCCCAGGCCCTGCCCAGTAACATGCCAGTGGCCCTCGCTCTGTCCAACAACCCCTTCTTTCCCCTCATGGCACCCAGGCTACCTCTGCAACCACCTCCACAAGCTGCTAGCCTGATCTCAGCTGCATCCTCTGGGGCCCACTCCATGCCCACAGACTCGCTCACCCAAGGAACCTCTACAGCAGGAGCGGACGGAAGCCTGGCATCCACTCCAACCTCCTTTGCCACCTCCTCCCTCATGGAGAAGATCACAGCGAGTAAAGGCATGATATCACCCATGATGGCCAGACTGGCAGCTGCTGCCCTGAAGCCCTCCAACAACACAGATCCAGGTCAGTCCCTTTACAGTCAGTCACTTGTATGTTGATTTATTAACTGGGATTAATCATGAATAATCGTGATTAATCGGTTCATCCACAGTTTCTTGGTAATTAACCAGGTTTACAGTTTCAGTTGTTTCACAGCCCTAATACAAATCCATTACATCTCAGTAGTTCTTAGGTGTAATTGTGTTTATTTCATCACTTTTAAAACAGACTTCACTCAGATGTTTCTGTCCCACATTATTAGAAAGGTTTAAAAAACTGTCACTTTTCTGCTCGGAGGGGCAAACCAGAGGGATGGCTCTCTGCTGTGGGCTTGGGCTTGGGGTTGAGTTGATCACTTGTTAGATACCCACAATCCATTTAGAGATAAATGTGCTGACTGGGGAGAGTGGAGCTTGTAAAAGTCTCTCATGATGTTCAGAATGGGGGCTCATGGGGCTTTTGTCGTACATGTTTCCTCATCATCGGTCTCTTATCTGTCTGTGCCCGTTCCAAGCAAATGGAGGTGGAATGAAATTAAGTTCAGAAATTGCAGGAACAAAAAATGTTGTTTTTTTCTATCCTCTATGCAAACTGATAAAAAAAAACCCCCGGAAATCTCTCAGGCAGAAACGACTCAAAGCACCAGAGCTGAAAATAAAGCTTTTTTTTCCCCACTGATACAAGAAGTCAGACACACTTGCCTGCATCAGCAAAGACACACTTTACACATTTTTCGAAACCTTCTGTTCCCGGGAAAACATGTCAATATCTATTTAGCATAAACACAATCCGCATAATTTTGGAGGTAATTGCCTTGTCTCTGTTTATCAAACTGCTCTAAACAAAGCTTGTGGAAATTAAGGTAAGGTATTAAATTGATAATGCACTGCAGAACAGAGTCTTGCATTTAAGTACCAGCAGAGCCTCCTGCATTGAGCCTGAGCAGGTGGGATGTGGGTTGTAAATGGGACTGCAGGGGGGAGCATCTCCGGATGTTGGGACTGGGAAGGATTACAATTCCTAGTGGTGTTCCTGGAGCAGGACAGGCCCTGGGAGAGAGCTGGGGCAGCTGCTCCGGGGAGCTCAGCCGAGTTCAGGCTGTCTGGCTGAGCTCCACCTCTGGGCTTCCAGCAGTTAGTCTGAATGCCGATAAGACCCCAGTGAGGGTGGGGCCACCACAGATGGTGCGTTTGCTAAAAAAGACCCCGGTGTGCTCACCTATCAGATGCAGCATGTATCTGGCTGCCGGATAGAAAAGTTAGCTCGATCACACTGCAGCCCCCTCACTCACATATTTTATTGTAAACCCTCAGTGCAGTAAGAGGAGGGAGCGGTAGCTGTGGTTTTTGTTTCTTGTAGTCTTGTAGTTTCAACAAATGTGTGAACAGGACATTTAGGGTCAAAATATGAAGGAAGTGGTTTGTGTTTCTTGACAAAAAAGTGTGTGAAAAGTTTGAGTTTGTGGCTATATTTTCACTGTTCTGTTTTATATGTACTTGTGAAACTTCATTCTCAAATGTACAACTTCAAGTACATTTTTTTTCTATGTGAAGTCATTTTTCTCTAAATGTGTTTTTGTATATAATGTTCTGCTCTAATTTACCCCTAAGTGTTTTTTCCCAGAGATTTGAGCATCTGAAGGGTTTACTAATTAGATACACAGTACAAATGATCCTTCACCAGCTCTGTATCTTATCCGGAGTAATTACATGGTGGGACATTATTCCTGGATAATTTCCAGAAAGAAGCTGCTTTGAGTCAAACTCATTTGTTCTCCCTCTTTGGAAATTGAAAAGAAAAGAAAAAAACCTCGATGATTTGCAGCAGCGACCTTTGTTCTTTCCTGCACCTCAGAGCAGAAGTAAATTTCTCTGCTGACTGACTGCGGATGAAATATGCTGAATTTTTTTGTTTAATTGTTAATGAACGAGCGGCGTTGGTTTGGATGTTAAATTTTGTATGAACTCTCAACGTGTTGCGGGAGGGAAAAATAACTTCATCTAGACTTAGTGAGAATTCAGTGACCTCAACCAACACAGGTCGACTACCAGTTTTATTTAGACCCACCTATGCCAGAGCCCCACCTACCTCATGACAGCGACGGTGAGACCTCCTCTGAACTGAAGCACTCTGCTGACGAGGCCCAGGACTGGCTCTGATTCATTCAGCTTGTATGTCTCTGGGTCAGGGAGGAGGGAGGCTGAGGTCCCACGGAGGCTGGTCTTCCCTTCTTCTTCCTAAGAAGAAAAAAAAACAGAGATGCCTCATCAGGCTGAGGGCCAAGGGCACACACATGGTTGCCCATGACCTTGCCTGTCACAGTCCCTCAACACCAACTCAATCCCTAAACAACCGATTCCTCAGCAAAGGGATCACAGCCTCTGGTGCTCTCCAGTCTTACATTTAGACTTTATTCTGGCCCTCACCCCTGCCACTCATATTTTTTTAGATAAAACACTTAATGTCAACCAAGGGCCGTGCTTTCTCAGGATAGCCCCAGGACAAATTAATATTTCAGTCTCCTGTGGATAATGGAGGGTGGGGTGGGGGGGTGGGGGTGGGCTCCTGACTTTCTTATCACTGGTGTATTTAAACCGTTTCAGCTCTTTTGTCCAGACTTATTGCAAACACTGAATACCTATTTGTGGGAGAATTTGCAAAGGGGTCACGCTATTTGAACCAATGTGATTGGCTGTCAGCTCCAATCTGACCGACGTAGCGCCCCTTTTTCTTGTGGGTACGCTCAGTGGCACCGGCCGCCATCCGTTGTCAGGGCAACATTGAGCTTGGGAAGGTGGAAAGGGAGTGGGGAGGGGTTGCCAATCCGAGACTGCCACTTTCCCTCAGCATTAGCATCTAACTTAATGACCATTTAAGAGGCAGCCTGGCAAATGAGTTGTGACAAGTGCTGCAGAAAAAGGAGTCTTTTTCCCTCATATCGCCCGCCTCTCAATCACAATTTAAAAGGCTTGACGGCCTCACATAATTCTGCCATAATTATCACTCACAGTATTCTTTACGGGGCCAGGACAGGAGTCAGATTGGATCTTGTCATAGGGTAATAATGCTGACCAACAATAACTTTGTTGTCTCCTCTCCTCTCCTCTCCTCTCTCCATCTCTGCCTTGATCCTCAGGGAACGGGCAGTCGGCTCCAGCCAGCCAGTTCAATCTGGTTCAAGTGAAGCAGGAGCCAATGGAAGGCAACTCTCAGGACTCCACACAAGAGCATAGTCTGGACCTGAGCAAGAAAGACCACAGGTACAGAGATGTTAAACACACAGTTTGTAAATGTTGCATTTATTCCTGATGTGAAATTAACAAAAACATCCACAAAATGAATCGACACCAAAACAAAGTTTCACTGATTTATAGACACTTTCCACGGCTCTGGCAGCCTGAGTCAGACTGCCATTCCTGATTATGCATCACAAACATCCAGTTTGATATATGTGAATATATCCTCAACATATTTCAACATTTTTGCGAGAAAGATGTGTACATAAACCTTCAAGTCCAATCTTTGCTCGCACTGACTGTAGATCTTATTTTTTAAGAAGACAGCATTTTTCTTCTTCATTATACAGGCACACCCTCCGTGATAAATAGTAATATTTACAGTTCTCATGCAAATCTTGGCTAAACATTGTTCATTTTCCTTGTTCTAGTAATGAATCAAACGGACACCCTGTACCAGGGAATACATCTCTTTTATCCTCGCTTATGAATAAGGTAAGATCCATCCATCAAACGCCTTTCATCCCAAGACAAATTAGTGGGACGCAGAGGGGCCTGTTTGTTTTTTAATGTTTCACCGCTAATAAGATGAGTTTGTATCATTTAAATTTTCCAGCCATTTTTCATACGGTGTAATTTTCACTGCACCTCTCACAAATTAATATAATGAAGCAGTAGCTGGGTGCCAAGCCAGATATATAGAGATGTTTGTTTTTTGATGAGCTGGTTTGAAGTCACCGTCCATTTTTTTTCCGCTCCCTTTTTGAAACGTATTTATAGAGTTGGTAAATTATTTGATTATTTATTTGATTAAAAAGTCAGGCGGGGAAAATGAAGCGAGATGGCTAAATGCTGGTGTAAGAATTTCTGGAATAATACATTGTTGTCAGGGGGATCAAAATGGACATCGTCTTTATCTTATCTTAAGCTTTTTCTGACAGACACAAATGTGTCGGATGGTTTTAATAACCCACCCACTCATCAGACACTATTCCTTTAGCCTTGACAGCAGGTCAGAACCTGTTCCCGCCTTCTTTATACACACAGACATGTCTTAGCCAACCTCTGACTGTAACTAACCAGTAAACCAGCACATGTCCATTGGGAAATAATGTGTCACCTGTGATGGTGCAGGCTCAGAATGCAAATAGAAAAGAAAAGAAAAGACCCCTCTGCTCAGCCCTCACTGTTTTTAAATGACAGGAACCAAAGTGGTCTTCACACACGAAAAAGACAACTACACATGTGGTTAATGGGAGTGAAACTAAGCACAAATATATATATTTTTTTTTTTTTTTTTTTTTTAACTGGCTGCTGCTTTGTGTGTTATGTGTTTTGCAGATGACACAGATGAACCCCATCCTCTTCAACACCATGAACATTAAGACAGAGCTGGAGCAAGGCCAGGCCAACAACACCTCAGAGGTAGCACAGTATCTGAACAGAGTGCTGAAGAGGCCTGTTCAAGAAAAGCCCACCGAAATCTGGAGGACTTACCTCCGCAGGTATAAAAACCAAAAACCTTCTGAAATTGCAACTTCCATGTCTTTCAGTCTAGTAAGGTCCAATAGAAATAAACCAGTGTGGTTGAAGACATTTACATTCTTTGTATCTGTCAATATCAAGGTTTGACACAGATGACTACTGTGAGACTCAGTGTGACTTTCTTCACAAAGTCCACTTTCACTGTATGGTAGAGGACTGCGGCGCCCTCTTCAGCACCGTGGACGGAGCCATAAAACATGCAAAGTAAGTGACACACACTACGTCCTGACTTGGAGAGAATATGTTTTTGCACTGAAACATTCCATTTCTTTGTTCTTGATCGTTATCAAAATTAGCTTCTATTTTGTCGTTTAGCTTCCACCTCCGAGCCACCATTAAAGTTAAGTCAGAGTCTCAGTTTGGTGAGGTGAAAGACTCCAGCGAGGGAGCCCCTCCACAGCCTGCTGCCCCAGTGTCTATGGCCAACAACCCCTCCATGGATGTGGCCCATCTCTCCTCCTCTGGTGGCTACAGTTCTCCTCCTTCCTCCCTGTTGGCCTGGAAACAGCTGACAGGCACCATCCCTCAGCTGTCGGCTTCGATGCCCAACCTGCCAGCGAACTCCACTCTGGCCACCACCTCTTTAGAGAATGCTAAGCCTCAAGTCAAACCTGGTTTTCTTCAGTTCCAAGAAAAGTATGTCAAGTTTTTTTCCTCTAAATGCATTTGATTGTTTTGTTTTTTGTTTTTTTATCTTATAAGTGTTTTTCAATTATCTATTGCCTGTTTGTCTAGTGATCCATGCCTGGCTACTGACTGTAAGTACTCAAACAAGTTCCACTTCCACTGCTTGTTTGGGAACTGCAAGTATGTTTGCAAAACCTCTGGCAAGGCGGAGTCCCACTGTTTGGACCACATCAACCCCAACAACAACCTGGTCAACATCCGTGATCAGTTTTCCTACTACTCTCTCCAGTGTCTCTGTCCAAACCAGGTGAGTTGGACTGGATCTTTTGTCCAGATACGGGTGACTCACCTGCTGTCATCTCTCAGAATTTCCAAGCCTGAAGTATGCTATTCCATTAGACCAGTATTTGAGGTTATTTGACTCAAGGCTCTCACAAGCACTGCTCCCTGTCTTCCATCTCTGCTGAAAAAGACTCAGAGAGTCTAGAGTCTACTCACCAAGTAATGCCTGTTTATATGTCAATGATGTCATTTTGACTGCCGCATTCTCCTCTCAGAAAAGGCCAATTTAGCTGATATTACCCAATAAATCATTGTCACTTGCACAGTAAACAAGCCTGTCTGGATGGGGCTAAAATCAAGGGAATGCTTGGCAAATGAATCCTAAATGGCAGCCCCTGCCTGCTCTCATGAGCCCGTATTTGGAAAAGCATTTAAATTAATTCTTTAATGTGTTGAAAATTGCCCCCCCCCAAAAAAAATTTTTTTTCCTCATTTTTCCCTTCTCCTCCTCCTCCTTATTCCCCCTTAGTCTCCTGAACAGCGTAGATCTTATTTAGCCCTGTCCTCTGGGATCTGGGCCTCACAAGCAGATGGTGGTGCACAGACATGTTCGAAAGGAAACGTGTAATAAAAAAGTAATCATGAAGTGAAGTGTGGAATGTTCCACAAGACCAGAGAGGAAAGGACTGTGAGAATCTGCGTGCAGTGTTTGCTTAAACCTTGCACACACTAGATCAAATAATATTAATCATCTCCCTTAGACTCACTGAACTGTAAATTGTGTGTCTCCACTGCAGCACTGCGAATTCAGAATGAGGGGCCATTATCACTGTCTGCGACCTGGCTGCTTCTTTGTCACTAACATCACCACCAAGCTGCCGTGGCACATCAAGAAGCACGAGAAGGCAGAGCGCCGTGCCGCCAATGGCTTCAAATACTTCACCAAGAGGGAGGAGTGTGGGAGGCTGGGTAAGGAGAAAAAACCTGAAGTTTCCACCTTCCTTTTTCTTCTTTATCTCTTTGTGTTCTTTTCTCCTTTCCAACCTGCGCTCTGACAAGATCTTCATGTTCACATAAACACTGTTGTTTAAAACAGGTACTGTGTAGAATTCAGGCACAGCTATTGTCTATTCCATCCCCATTTAAATATAAACTAAGTCTTTTTTAATAAAAAAAACTTAATTTGTACAAGAATACTCATATGAAAATATAAAATGTTGTTTCATGATAACAGAACAGAGGAATGAGGAAATTATTCCTAATTAGGAAAGAATCCTAACTGTTTTGATTGTGGTTAGCATAGCAACATGCTAGTTGTTGTTCTTAGCTTTTTACTGCTATCATTAATGTCTGAAAAAAAATCTGTGTTTGAAGTAGAAGGTGACAGGAAAATTAGATTAAGTTGGAGAGCTTTAGTGGATTAGAGTCTGACCGGCTGCAGAGAGATTATATTTCTTATTAAAGAAAGAAGCAGCGCGTTGTTATTTAGCATATTCACAGCTGTGACAGGTCTATCGCTTTGTCCGCTGTCGTTTGACATGTAATGAAGCTTGGCCTAGACTTGAGAGAAAATTGTCAGTTTGGGCAATCATATCCAGGCTGTTTTCTTCCTACTTTAGCCCCTGTCAGAAATGAGCAATTAGTTTAGTGTTTGTTGATTATCTGGCATGTCTGGTTATGCCTGTTTGTGTTCTTATGCTGCGTCCCACAGTCACCACTGCCCCAACACAAAAATTAACTTTTTTAGTTACACAAAGTAAATTAAAAAACAAACACCAGGCTGTTAGGGTTAAACCAGTTGTTGTTTTTTTGTCTCTCTGTCTGAACTGCCAACTGTATTGTTTGTGCTGGGGAAAAACAGAGAGGATTACCATCAGTAACACTCCAGTCATAAAGAATTGATGGGTTACCAGTATCCATGGCAGCAACATTCAAGTGAACAGAGCTGATGATGTTACCTGGCTCCTGTCTCACAAAAGGCCCTTCATGTCACGGGGTTACTGTTATTTGCTCAACTTTGCGTGTTTGAAACGCTGTGTGTGCAGGAGCTATTTGATGACACAGACGTGTTGTGCTCTTAAACTGGGTGCCATGGTTACTGGCATGCTAGCACCTGCCCAGCATGTTACTCTTTCAATTATTTCTGCCTGCTTTTATATAATGGTATTTGATTAACAGACACAAAACAGAACATTCATTTAATTTGAAATCATAAAGCAATTAGAGCGAGACCCGTTAAAACAAGAGGAAAGAACAGAGGAAAAACGAAGCAGACGGCGGTGCAATGGAGAACAAAAGGAAAAATGGCAATGGAGATACTTTGAAAAATGAATTTAATATGGTAATAATTGTATATTTACTTTGGTTTGCAGGGGTGTGTGCATTATTGGGCCACAGAAAATGAGAATTTATTTATGTAAATTCCTAATTGAATAAAGCATGTCAGTGTAATAAAAGAGCTCCACAGGTTTAGTGAACAGAAGCCTTGACTTGCTCAGTGTGACACCAGAGTGATCTAATATTCCTCCTACATGTGCACTCCCAAACACTTTAGAACCCGATCCCTCTTTTGTCAGTGCTACAGTATATCATGAAATTAAAAAAAATCTAAAAATATTTCACTCTGTGTTTGATCTAATCACAACACCGTCACACTGGTAATATTGCGTTCAGCAGCCGAGCAGTTTTCAGACGCTCCGCAATCAGCCGGAGACAAATTAATCTGTGAGCGCTGAATCCACAACTGTTGCCGTTTTCCTCCTCACAGGTTGCAAATATAACCAAGTCAACAGCCACTTCCACTGCATCCGTGAGGGATGCCAGTTCTCCTTCCTGCTTAAGCACCAGATGACGTCACACGCACGCAAACACATGAGGCGGATGCTGGGCAAGAACTTTGACAGAGTCCCATCCCAGGTACAAACACATAACCTGTGGCACACAACACATGCCATTGTGAAATGTGTAATTATGTGACACTATAGCTCACTAAACAAAAACACTTCAAGTGTTCAAACACTTATTCGAATGCAGTACAACAAAGCCAAAAACCTCAACACGCCCTGAAAGTGAGAGATCGATGAATAAGCCAAGTCCACCGGTGGCACTTAAGAGGTCACAGGGAAGGTCATGTAACTAGAAGAAAGCTCAAGAGCAAATTCATTCTTTAGTTTCTCACCACATGAGCTACACACAATTTTATGAAATTCTCGTCTGTGAATCTGATTCTTCAAAATGATGTCTCTCCACATTTTGTCAAACTAGTCACCACCAAATTACTCATGGCATTTTTTAATGACATGTATTCTGTGTAGGAGTGTACTCGATTCCCTCACTTAACCTATGCAGTACGTGCTGTACCCTACCTAGATCTAAATATGTGGATCTTCAAGTTTGCTCTCTTCTTTTTCTGTTTTGAACTTGTGGTATAATGACAGAAGTGTGTTTCATTCTTTCACAACTCTTTTGACATTTCCAGACATTCTTGGTTGTTAGCCAAGAGCCAACACCTGCATTAATGAGGAATTTGTTTTCCAATAGTTTTCTTTCCAGAAGAGTTCTGTAACTAAGAAGAGCATTTGTTTTCCAGGTAATGCCACTGGGTCGTAGAGCAGATGAGATGCAGCACATGCCTGGGCCAATGGCAGCCCAGCATGGCAGCACACACAATTTCTCTGCTGCGCTGGATGAGACCGATGACTACATGGACTATGTAGGAGGAGGCGGGGGCAGCCCCCTAGGCCTTTCCTCCGAGTCCTCCAACCAGGACCGCAGCTGTACCAGCACACCAGTGGGCAACGACAGCTCTCCAGCAGGTGAGATTATGCAAAAGTACAAACAGTCCATAAAAAAGGTGGTTGAAGTACTGGGGGTGGGGGGAGGGATGGAAATTTAATCTAAAAGTGAAGCCTCAAGCAGTTCTCACTCATTCACCTCAGCCAGAAAAAGCAGCAGCTTTTCACTTCATGTCGTCTCCAGACGGAGTTTCTCATGATGTAGTAGTTTGACTCCGATCACCAACATCAGTCATGTTATATGAGCTTGATGACAATGCTGTATTCTTCTGATTCGTGGACAAAACTGTTTGCGTGGTCATCCTCATAAAACATCCATTTTGTACATCAGTGGCTTGAGTTATTGCACAGTTTGTAGCTGATTACATTTTCCTTTGGCGAGACATCATGGCCGCCGCTTCCCCTGTGTCTACTTTAGCACTTTTAGGGAAAGTGGGAGAAAGGGGAAGATTTTATATAAAAAAAAAGTGTTTCTCTGCTTTATTCTGAGCCTGTGTGTGATTCTCACAGTCTTCCATGTGTTTCCAGTTGTATCCACTGCACTCATTATTGTTAAACTGGCTGGTGTTTAGATTTCTTGTCTTGAATGGGCCTCATTTTGTATCATTCTCTTATCTTTTATCTTCCCTTTTTACCTCCCGTCTCTCCTTGTGTGTGTGTGTGTGTGTGTGTGTGTGTGTGTGTGTGTGTGTGTGTATTTCTCTCCCCTCTTCTTGTCCTTCACTCTCTCTGGTCAACCTGTCTCTCCAGGACCAGGCTACCCTGCCACCTCTTCTGCACCTACCACCCCCGCTGACACTAGCGCTACCCAACATGCACTTCCTTCTACCCCTCCTCCACCCCTTCCACCAGCACTTGCTCCTCTCCCTCCTCTGTCTGCCCCTCAGCCTGGTCTCCAGACCCATGTCCCGTCCCTGTCCCCCGCTCTCCTCCGACCTCCTCTGCCCTCACTCCCATACCTCCTCTCTCCATCCTGTCTGTCATACTCTCTGCTCAGCACCTCTCTGGGAGCCACTCGGAGTGTTGTCATGCCAACCAACACACCAGCTTTCAGCCCCATCATTGCCACACCGTCTCCAGTTAGAAATGACGTCCCTATAGTGCAGGATGCTGCAGGTACTTATCCCCGACGCAAACCAACACTGCAGCTGTTACTGAATAAAGTCCTGTGCAGCATTGAATTGTGGGATCTAGGTTTTCTGTACGACTGTTATTGAACTGGGAATTGGCTGCATGCACGCAAAGTATTTACTTTTACACACAAACTTCAAAAGTAACAAAAAATAAATCTAAATTAATTTGATTTTAATTAAGGTTCCAAAAAAATCCTACACTGAATTAGAAAAATAGAACTGTAACTGTAAATGTAGAGTCAGGGCAGAACTAAAAGCAAACAGACTCATACCAGTAAATGCTCCCTGATAAATTGGCTAATATGTGACTTTTAGAGACAAACTGTGCTGGACACCGTTGTTAATACATTTTAGGAATTCGATGGATCTTGAATGACTCGCATGAGCAACAAAAGTTTGGTTTCAAAGAAATATATAATGTGTCTGTTTGACTGCCTGCAGCCCAGGCCTGTCTCCTATTAGTCTTTAAACGCCACCATTTCACTTGCAAAACTACATTTCTGAGAATTTGTTTCCAAAGTGAAACTGGGATTAAAACCCAGGTTCAAAATTTGGGGCCGTTTTACGAAGTGTTGCAACTTTTCTGTAGATGGAGTTTGTGAAAGCATCGAGGTGCATGCGTCCTACATTAAAACAACAAGTGTGTGTGTGTAATTATTTTACGCCCACCGTTGTGTCTGCTTTCATTTTTAACATTGTTAGGATTAAGGAAGAGAGCAGTAAATTTGACAGCCGTCATCTGAAGCCGGGGCCTTGTTTAGCTTCCATTAACAAGGCTGCATCAGCAGCATTTTAATCAGGCTCCAAGTTTTATCGAGGCCCGCTGCTTCCTGTCTCGTAGAACAGGGATCAGATCATTAGTAGTGACCGCAGGGTGTTGCGAAAGGTGGGTGCCCCTCGTAAAATAACATGGAGATAAGAGGGTGGGTTAAGACCCTCAGCTCCGCCTCTGTTTGGAAGCAGCAGACACCCTGTAAAAGTGTCACGGTCCAAAGTCAATCTATCATTTTCTCTCTCCTTTAATCATTCTGGGAATTAGGAATTTAAAAAAAAAAGTTGCGCTGTCTGCTTACTCAGCCGTGTAACACAGGTCACACACATTTAAACACGGTTCCACGTGCACATGAGATGTTGGAGTTACTTTATTCCCAGATTAAAGTCTGACTCTGACTTTTAAAGTTAATCTCTATCGTTAAATATTTTTGTTAAAAAAAAAAAAGTTTTATATTTTACATGGAAACCTGTATTTCTTGGCTCGAATATCAGAAAATATTTAAACACTGGATTTTGGGGATTTTTCTGATATAAATTATGAATGGCTTAGATTAGTTTTAGATTCACAAATAAATGAAATTCCCCAACTCTGTGATTGTGTGTTTTCATGTTCCGTCTGTTCTTTCTTTCAGGAAACACCATCTCTATTCCAACAGCCCCTGGTGCTAAAAAGCGAATCTGGATCATTGAGGACATGTCACCGTTCGGCAAACGCCGCAAGACGGCTTCCTCACGTAAAATGTTGGATGAGGGGATGATGCTGGACGGCTTCCGGCGCTACGACCTCTACGAGAACTGCAAGGACACCGGCTGCCAGTTCTCTCTGAAGGTCACCCACTACCACTGCACCCGTGAGAACTGCGGCTACAAGTTCTGCGGCCGCACCCACATGTACAAGCACGCTCAGCACCACGACCGCGTGGACAACCTGGTTCTGGACGACTTCAAGCGCTTCAAGTCCTCGCTCAGCTGCAACTTCCCCGACTGCCAGTTCTCAGGCAACAGCACCCACTTCCACTGCCTGCGCTGCGGCTTCCGCTGCACCGACAGCACCAAGGTGACGGCCCACCGCAAGCACCACGGCAAGCAAGACGTGATCAGCGCCGCCGGCTTCTGCCAGTTCAGCTCCAGCGCCGACTGCGAGGTTCCTGACTGCAAATATAAGCTCAAGTGCTCGCACTTCCACTGCACCTTCCCCGAGTGTAAGCACACGGTGGTGGGCATGTCCCAGATGGACTCCCACAAGAGGAAGCACGAGAAGCAGGAGCGAGGAGAGCTGTCGTCCGTGTCACCCAAACAGGAAGGTGCTCACCACATGGCAGCGGCTCGCTCTGCGGTTCCTCCGGTCTCCATGGCCCTCTCTACCTCCTCACCCGGAGGCCTCCACGGTTTGTCCCACAACATCAACAGCATCGCTCCCTCCATGGTCTACCCTCTGGGGGACATGAGCTCCGACTACAACCACACTTATCCGCCGTCTGCCATCAGCCTGGACGGCTCCCTCAATCTCTGCACCGACACCAACAGCTCCCTGTTCTTCCTGAAAAACGCGTCCGGTCTGGGTCTCAACGACTCACTGGACCTCAGCAAGAAGATTCACCACGAGGCAGTGAGATCTGGACACAGCCCGGCGGCCTCTCTGGGTCTGGCAGTGGCTCAGGAGGACACCACGGGAACATCTGGAGAAGCCGAAGACGACCTGTCGCCAGAGGAAGAGGTGCACGCAGAGGAGGAGGAGGATGATGATGATGATGATGATGATGAGGAGGAGGAAGAGGCGGCGGAGGATGATCTCAACAGTGATTCCAATGACGACCTAATGCTGGAGCCGGACGGCGAAAAAGACAACGAGGAAAGTTATGATGCTTCCGTTAACCACACTGGTTCTTCCCAACTGGAAAAACAAGATACTGATCCTTGAAAAAAATAAAAAAATAAAAATAAAAATAACCAAACTGAATGAACCAACAGCGACTGTAGGAAGTCCAGACAACCCTGTGTACTATGAACAAACAGAAACAGCCGTGGCCTCGTCCATCACCTTCTCAGACTCCAGCTGACAAACCCTAACCAACAGTGTGAAGAACTTGACGGCCCGCCGTGATTTATTATCATGTTTACAAGTTGACCAACGTTAGTAATTCAATTATGCATTAAAAAATATGAACGGAGTCACAGAATTAGGCCCTGATTTACACACAGGGCAGCAATGTAAAGCATTTTACTACACATCAGTCTTTTTGTGTGGCTGCATGTTTGACCTTTAATTTATTTTTTATTTTCTTCACGTTTTGTGTGTGGAAAAAAAATTGTAAGAAAAACAGAAAAACAAATCTCTCTATATAACTATATATGTAAGTGTGCGTGTGCGTGCGCGTGCGTGTGTGTGTGTGTGTGTGTGTGAGACGATACTATACAAAAAGGAAAATGGCCGACACAGGTGACGTGAATCACAGGGCCGTAGACAGAGGGGTGTGAATCACTAAAGGGGAAACAGACTTGTTTCAAACATTTAATCTTTTGTTTTTTGTATTAATGTTATATTATTATTAATATTAATTATTGTGGCTATTAATATTATTAATGACGGAGAGAAAGGGGGTGACGTTTTCTTCTTCTCGCCTCTCAGGTGATTTTTGTTTCTTTCTTTTTTTTTTAGTTCTCAGTGACATTTGGAATCGACCAGTAACTGTTTTTTCTTTCTCAGTCTCAGCTGCGGTCGGGCGTCCAGCCTGTTCTCGCTGACGTTCTGCTACAAATGTTCCTCTAGCACCAAATCCAAGCTCAGTCCTCATCATCATTAATGTTATTATTACTATTATTATTATTATTTCCTTCGCCCCCCGTCGAGAAACCGAGTTAGTGTGTGGTTCGTGCACTTTTGATATTAACTGACCATAACAACAGCGGTGATGACAGAATTAAAACAAACAAAACAAACTCAATATTTTTGTTACCATTTGCATCTTTGCATTACAGCGTCGTTCTGTTGTGTTGTCGGACAGAGGCGTATCGATCCGTTAGCAGGCGAGGTCGTGATTAATGGCCTGCGTGTTGAGGCTCGAGGGCGGGACTGCAAGTGGGTGGTGGAGGGGTGAGTGTTTGAGACTGACCGGAGGAAACAATGAGGCAGTCAGGAGCAGCGAGGACGACGACACAGGAAGAAGTGTCTGGACGCCGTGTGTTTTACTATGAAAAAAAAAATATGTACAGACCGAAAAGAAAAAGAAAAAAAATGTCAACTGGCATTTTTTTTGTTTGTTTGTTTTCCACTCTGACTGTGGTTGAGCTCCTGTTATAACGGTTTTTATTTAATATTTATGTGACCTTCCAATGAGAACATTTTTAGGGTGTTATTGCACTTTTTAGGTTAATTTTTACTGTCTGAAAAAAATATGATATATATCTTCTAACAGGGAATTTGCTTTAAACATGTTATTTTAGTTCACTTTTTTTTTGCTTTGATGCACAAATAGTTGTTAGTGTGACAAAGAACTGTTGTTCTGTGCTTTATTTAAAGACTGGCTTTTTTTTGCGTTTGTAATTGGACATTTTTGAAAAAGGAAAAAAAGGCACATCATAAAAAAACGATGTCCCCATCAGAAACACTAATACTGACTGTGATTTAGAAGAACTCTTCATGATCTCAAATTAAATTATGAATCTGTTAAAAAAAAAAAAAAAAAAAAAAAATCCTGGTTTACACAGTGCAAATAATTGTGTTTGGCCCAGGAGTGAACACACTCTGATCATGAAGTATCTCCTGAGCTTGGCATTGGAAATAAATGAACATTACTAAGGGAATAGTGACGAGTGTGTCCATGACTTTCCTCCTCACATTGTAATGACTCAAAAAAAAAAAAAAAAAAAAAAAAAAAAAAGGTTGTACAGTATTTTCCTCTGTAAAAATAATTATTATATATGAACAAAAATGCTCTTTGATGAAGAGATTAATTTAAAAAAGAAAAAAACTAAAAGGAGACGTGAATAATAAAAAAGTAAAAATTTCAAATAGCCTTGTTTTAGTTTGCTTTGTGTGAATGAGTGTGTTTTTTTGTTTTTTTAAATTACCACAGGATTTTTTTTTTTTTTGGTAAAAAGCTCAGACAGCTCTGTTGTGTTTGCCGTACATGATTTGTTTGTTTATTTGTTTTTGTCTAAACTTTGTCAGACGCTCAAATTCAAATACACTGATGTGATTTCAGTCATTTTGGTTTTGTTTTTACTACTGTCATTTCTGGACCTGTGTGTGTGTTTAAGTGTGTTTTCCTCATGAATTAAATTCTTGGTTTAAATATTTTTTTCTGTGGCCACGCTGTTGTTCACAGAGAAAAGTGTCTCCGTGAGCAGAGACATTTTTATCTTGATTCTGTTTTATCCTGATTTTTCTGGGACTTGGAGACGATGTGCACTTGAATTAGGTAGTTTGTGTATTTGTTGGTGTGTGTGGGTGTGAGGGTGGAAGAGAGAGAGGGGGAGAGGGGGCGAGAGATGGGGGACATGTGAAACAGTCGACTGTAAATGAAGATGAAGTATAAAATAGATTTAAATGTTGTTCTGAAACCTGCTTCAGTTGAGGCCTATTTAAGTCATATTTAGAGGGGTTAGAAAAGATGAAACTACTGAAGTGTGTGTGTGTGTGTGTGTGTGTGTGTGTGTGTAAGAACACAGACCTGTGGCTCCGTCCCAGCTGCTCAGAGCTTTGATTCATATTTCATAATTCTGTTTCCTGCTTTGTTCTGCTCAAATCCAACTAGATTTTTTTTCTGCAATACAATTTGAAAAAAACAAAACAACAACCAAAACAACAACAACAACAACAACCTAAGAACGTTGTATTTAAACATCTGCATCGGTGCAGGTTTACGAATCAACAATATTTGTTGTTTGTGTCGCCTGCTGTTTGACTCTGTGACCTGACCGGAGCTAAGGAGCGTTTAAAAAAAAAACTAAAGAAAAACAAAGCAGCTTGTGCTAACAGGACGCTTCTCTGTGATTTGTTCTGCAGCCATTACACAGATGTACACTTGTTTTTTTGTCTTTAACTTTATTTTTAATATTTTATTTTTTTTCCTCTGGGTTCTCCTCCCACTCCTGTTGTCCCCCTGTGGGCAGCCGTGCCGCTGCTGTCTGTCCCCTCGTCTACAGCTGTCCCTGTCTTTTCTCCTTCTCCTCCTTGTGATGTTTTTTAATAAAAAAAGAAAGAAAAAAAATCACAACTAAAGGCATCACCATCTGTCAGCCAGCTGGTATCCTGTATATAATCTACCAGAGGAAAAAAGAATAAACATGAAAATTATATTACACAGAAAAAACAGACGGAAATGACCTCCAACTCCTGCATAGGCTGCTGCTGAAACGACAGATCATTTTACTGTTTTAATTAAGCGAGTAGAAATGATGGTATGAACGGCGGTGGGGAAATAAAGGGAGATGTATTTCGACTGACGGAACAATCTAATATGAGAGCGGCCTGCTTTCGTATTAGTGCGGCTCCACGGAGCAACGTTTTAGACTTTGTAAAATATATTGCACTTTTGGACTAAAAGCCATCTCCCGTTAGTGTCCAATTTGGCGAGATTCATGAGACATTTTATATGAGACCATGAGAGTGGAGCAAGTTTTATATATAAAAACAAAAAAATACAAAAACGAGAAAAATCTACTTGAATTTGTCGCCCTCATCACTGCTCCAGTCTGTTTGCTTATTTTCACTTGGATACAGTACTGTTCACCCTCATTGTGCTACATATATATATATACATATATAAATATATACTTTTCTTTGGTTTTGTTTTCTCTTCTGTTTCTGCATGTCTTCTGCAAAGATTGAGCTTTTCACTCGGTGAAATAAAAACCATGCTGAACCTGTTCTCACTGTGTGTCAGTGTTTCGACAACTCCCACCTTTTCACAGAACACCTCACAGTCCTACTGTACTCTACGTATACTGGAAGTGCCAACACTGTATGTGTGTGTGTGGGGTGGGGGGGTAGGGGGGGGGGGGGCAGACGTACGGCTGCCTCCGCTGACATGCAGCGGGGTGATGTGCCAGGAACAGGTTGTGTGAGAGAGCGAGCATCGTGGAAAGGCAACAGGCGGAGCGGGAAGACATACGACAGGTGTGCGCTGCATATGTGGTCACATGACGCCTGTAAGGCAGATTAGGGCCCAAACAGATGAAGCGCTGCTTAATGGCAGCTTTTATTAAGTTCACAAGGCGCAGAGGGAGGAGGGGCGGAGAGAGGAAGAGCAGGTGGCCGGTCCTATGGACTCACAGATGAAGACAGATATTGAACAGCAGAGTCTGAGGAGACGGAGACACCGTGGACGGATTTATGAAGATTTGTCCACAACGGACCAGACCTCCTGCCCAGACCTCCTGCCCCCTCACGAGTCCTGCAGCAACAGCCACAGAGTGAAGAGAAGACAAATGTTCCAGCAGTGAGGCCAGAAATTCAGATGATCAGAGTGAGATGAGACCTGTGAACAGCCTGAACTTCACTGCTGCACAGACAAGTCAAGAAGAGGTCGATTATAGGAAGAGGACAGGACAGGGGACGTGACATGTAAATAATTACAAAAGCTAGCTAAACACGACAGAGTTAAAGGTGCAACGTGGAGAATTTAGCTACATCTGGTGGTGAAGTTCCACAGCGCTGCTGTCATAGAGGAACTATGGTAGACGTGACAACATTACACTACAAAGATTACACACGTGTGACTGTGTAGTCATGAAAGGCATGTGTGTGTGGTGACTGGCCGGCCTGCGGTCCACATCAGTCACCTGCCAATAAAACCCTGCCACATCACACTGAGGTCTGAGTGGTGCAGACCTTTAACACAGCAAAATAAATACAACAAAACAACATTTATATTAAACTACATGATTTAGTATCACTTCAGTTCATACACAGTAGTTCAACTGAATTAAATGTGGCCAAGTAAACTCTGCTCTGTCCTAGTTGATAAAAAATATATGAAGATACATAAAAATATGTGTTAATATATACACACAAAAAGGTCACCTAATGCAATGGTTCCTAAACTTTCTGCAGCGCCCCCTTTTTGTAGCCAACACCATTGTTGAGCCACCCGCCCACACATTCAGAGCTACTGCTCCCTCCTATGACACTAAAATTTCCCCCACTCAAACAAACAGGAAATGCATTTCTAAAAGCACACTGATGTATTATCACCCATCAAGCATCCGTCGAGCGTCCCCTATTGGGGCGCCCCTCATTTTGGGAACCTTTGAGCTAAAATAAGATTTTTCTTTTTAAAGGATTGACCTATTTTCACTGGCAGAACAAGGACAAAGCCAGTGTATAAAAATATCAAAGGTGTGACTCTGGCGTTCAGATTGGACTGATTGATTTCTTGTTTTTTAATGAGCTCTCAATAATAACTCTCTCCATAATGACACTGTATTTACTCCCATTGTCTCTACATTGTGAACATATTTGAGGGTTCAGGTGTCGGACTAAAAGATCCATCAGCTCTTCATGAACAAGCACTGGTTTTTCTAGGGTGTGTGGTTGAGGAGCGACACACACGACGCACAACGAGTGCAGCTGAATATATCTGAGAATGGAGCGACTCTGGAGCTCCTTAAACCTACATCAGAAAACTGTTTTGTAAAATGATGTTCTGATCTGTTTAGCTTGAAGGATTAGAAAATTGGAAAAAAATCCTCATAAAAACAGAATAAAAAATAACTTTAGATTTTTTTTAGATTTACTCTTGTATAATTATTCTTATTGTATCAACGTGGCATCGATTATTTTAAAATATAAATTCTATTAATGTCTCATGTTGTGGTCAAACATTAAATAATAACATAATAGCATTTAAGGATATTTAACATCTGAATAATGAAGTTAATTAGGACATAATTAAACTAATTAAATAAATGTATGACCACAAAACAAATCCATTTGTTTAAAGGAAAAGATTTTCTACCAACATCTGATCAGTTTTTTTCTAGAAATCAATCATTTCCTCTTTCAGTTTTAGGTTGGTGACTTGTTCATGGAGAACTCTTATTAACTAACGTCTTAACGTTTTAATCCGTCTGAATGACTTTAGTGTTTTCTGCTCTTATTTGTTTCATGTCCGGCTGAGTTGACGACACTGAGCTCAAAGACGTTCACGGCTGTAAAGTCTATTTATGTTACGGTGACGACAGTTAAATCTTCAATCTTTCTTCTTCATTGTGTTATTGTCCTTAGTGACTATAAATTAAACACTCTTTACAAGCGCCCTGTATAATACATTCAAGGAACACAATGGGATCCCAGGACCAGATCTTGGAAAACAATAACTCAAAAATGAACTTTAAATGTATTAAATAAGTCAATGTTTTTAGTGCAGTTTGTTATAGATCTGAATCGGAAGTCTCTGTTGTTCCTTCCACACATCACTCACACCGACATTTAACAATAAACGTCACGAAATGAACGGACTGGAAACAGGAAGATGAAAAGTAGTAAAAATGTAATGTAAAGTTTTCGCGGCGCAGATGGATTTGTTTTTTTTTTTGGTGTCAAAAACAGTGAAAATGAAAGTGAGGCTGCAGACAGAGAGCAGCTCTGACTGAGCCGCTGCTTTGTGTCATATCTTTGTCATCAGAGACGCCTGTTGTTGACGGGCGGCCTCACAGGTGTACCGAGGATCATGTGTCCTGTGTGTATGACACGGCCGCCGCGCTCATTTCACCGCTTCATTGGCCCATTTATGGTTCACATTTTTGGACGAGATGTTTCCCCGAGCGCTTTCATCACCCCCCTCCCCTTCCTCCCCCGTCCTCCCCCGCATTAGACCTCACTTCAAATCCCGTGCCCTTTGCAATCGATGTTCATTTGTCTATTTTTGCATGTGTA